TCACTATGTAAGAATTCGTTCACCATGTAAGAACTTGTTTGTTATGTTTCAGAAGATTGGAGACTGATGAAAATTAGGCTTGGGGTGGATTAATGATTGTGCATTGAGCATTGACCCCTCTATACAGAATTTTATTGTGGTTAACAACCATTTGATCAATAAATATGAGAGATGCCCTCACAAAAAAATAACAAAAACAAAACAAAACAAAACAAAACATAATATCCTTATTGCCAGCACCTCAAGAATTACTACAAATGTGCAGTACAATCTCTGGCATAGAATGTGGTCTGAGTATTAAGTGCTTCGGCATTAATAGTAACATGCTGGGTTACCAATTTTAAGAGAATTATCCTATACAGCAAAATACGCGGAGCACTAAAACCAAAATTAATATGTTTTAATTTTATTCTTCAAAATTACCTCAAGGTCATTATTACAAATATCAATTTTCACTGTTTTTATATAAGTTGGAAAAACAATTGTAGGAGAGATGACACCCTACTATATATACCAGTTTTTACAGAATAATTATAATAGAACAGCTATGTAACTTATAAAGGTGCTTTTGACTACATTTGCTTTCCTTAGAATAGTTGCAACCATATGGATTTTTTTTTAATCTGAAGGAGCTATTTTAAACACATCCCTTATAGGGTTACCAATAAATATATAAATTCAATTAGAGATGCTGTTTCTAACACAGCTTACAGAATACTGATATGGAAATGTCAGAATGCAGGTTATAGGATAAACCTGATCCAGACCATATGAGGGATCATTTTATGAGTGTTTGGCCTATCGGGAAGCCTCAAAAGGCATACGTCAGCTTCAGGTAACAGTTGGGTCCTAAAGAATTCCTTTAAAGTAAATCACTTTTTTCTTCTAAAAAGTTAAAAAGTAAAGATTATTTTACAATACTTTCCTTTAAAACTGAATATAATGGGTATTCAGGGCACAAGTACCAATAAACATCAGATAACTATGTAATAATTATGTAACTATACAGATGTTCTATAGACAGCATGCAATAAAAATAATATAAGAAAAAAATTGCATCAGAGATTTCCACCAAGAACAGGCTCTACTTCTAGATAATATTATGACATGAGCCTAAGTGTCTCATTCTTATTCTTTCTTATATGTTCCATCTCTTTACTTTCTTTATTTTTTAAAAATTTTTATTAAGGTATTATTGATGTACACTCTTATGAAGGTTTCACATGAAAAAACAATCTGGTTACTACATTTACCCATATTATCAAGTCCCCACCCATACCCCAATGTAGTCACTGTCCATCAGTGTAGTAATATGCTACAGATTCACTATTTGCCTTCTCTGTGCTACACTGTTTTCCCCGTAATCCCCCACACCATGTGTACTAAACAATACCCCTCAATCCCCTTCTCCGTCCCTCCCCACCCACCCTCCCACACCCCACCCCTTTGGTAACCACTAGTCCCTTCTTGGAGTCTGTGCATCTGCTGCTGTTTTGTTCCTTCAGTTTTGCTTCATTGTTATACTCCACAAATGAGGGAAATCACTTGATACTTGTCTTTCTCTGCCTGGCTTATTTCACTGAGCATAATGTCCTCCAACTCCATCCATGTTGTTGCAAATGGTAGGATTTGTTTCTTTCTTATGGTTGAATAGTGTTCCATTGTGTATATGTACCACATCTTCTTTATCCATTCATCTACTGATGGACACTTAGGTTGCTTCCATATCTTGACTATTGTAAAAAGTGCTGTGATAAACATAGGGGTGCATATGTCTTTTTGAATCTGAGAACTTGTATAATTTGGGTAAATTCCAAGGAGTGGGATTCCCAGGTCAAATGGTATTTCTATTTTTAGTTTTTTGAGGAACCTCCATATTGCTTTCCACAATGGTTGAACTAGCTTACATTCCCACCAGCAGTGTAGGAGGGTTCCCCTTTCTCCGCATCCTCGCCAACATTTGTTGTTCTTAGTCTTTTCGATGCTGGTAATCCTTACTGGTGTGAGGTGATATCTCATTGTGGTTTTAATTTGCATTTCCCTGATGATTAGTGACATGGAGCATCTTTTCATGTGCCCATTGGCCATCTGAATTTCTTCTTTGGAGAACTGTCTCTTCATATCCTCTGCCCATTTTCTGATCGGATTATTTGCTTTTTGGGTGTTGAGGCGTGTAAGTTCTTTATATGTTTTGGATGTTAACCCCTTGTCAGATATGTCATTTACAAATATATTCTCCCATACTGTAGGATGCCTTTTTGTTGTGCTGATGGTGTCCTTTGCCATACAGAAACTTTTTAGTTTGTTGTAGTCCCGTGAGTTCATTTTTGCTTTTGTTTCCCTTGCTCGAGGAGATGTGTTCAGGAAGAAGTTGTTCATGTTTATATTCAGGAGATTTTTGCCTATGTTTTCTTCTACAAGTTTTATGGTTTCAAGACTTACATTCAGGTCTTTGATCCATTTTGAGTTTACTTTTGTGTATGGGGTTCAACAGTAATCCAGTTTCATTCTCTTGCATGTAGCTGTCCAGTTTTGCCAACACCAGCTGTTGAAGAGGCTGCCAATTCCCCATTGTATGTCCATGGCTCCTTTATCATATATTAATTGACCATATATGGTTGGGTTTATATCAGGGCTCTCTAGTCTAAGAACAGTGCATTTTGAATGTGCACAGAGGAACAAAACAACAAACATAAGTACATCCTTTCTTATACCAGAATTCTGAGGTGAATGGATCCATTCACCAAGTCACCTCTGATCCTGACAGGTCACCAGGGACCAAGTTCCAAGTCATTCCTCTGCCATCTCCTAGGGCACTGTTGTCAGCTGCATTGTTAATATTGGGTCATTGTTAAGTCTAATGAGAGAGGAAGGGGAATAAAGCAAATTTGTCCACTGCCTTAAGGCCTGGTCTAGAAGTCGCACATATCACGTCTGCTCATACTCCTCTGATGAGAATAAAGTGAGGCTGATAAATGTAATGCCAAACTATGTTCTGTTACTATAAAAGAAGAGGCAAATGGCTTATAGTTTCTTCCATAGTGGCTTTCCTTCTATTTGACAGCTGTTGAAAGCATATATTTCTGGGACCAAGGAAAACCTGCAGCTGGCTATAGAGTTGGAATACAGATAACTCTTCATCATTTGTCTATGTCAGGGTGGCTGATGTTGCAACAAGTTTTTCCTATAGTTATAGAAGAATTGGTGTTTGAGGCACACAAGTTTAATGTTGATGCTCATGATGCTTCAGAGGGAAAAACAAGAAGAAGCAGACCAATTAGCAAGGTTTTAGAGCTGGTGTGTAATAAGAACATACAATCTGAAATATTTCTTCCATACCAGCCTTTCCCATAACAAACTTCAGTTTCTTTTTCTGATTACTCACTATCCAGACCTTCTACAAAGTGGATATGAATTCCCATGGTTCAAATCCCATCTCTCTCACTTATCTAGCTATTTGATCTTCAGCAAGTTACATAACTTCTCTCTGCTTCTGTTTTCTCATCTGTGAAACACACTGGATATTGCTAGCTACTTCTTAGGGTTTAGTTAGAATTAAATTGCCTATTATGTGTAAAGCACTTGGAACAGTGCCCAGTGCATCATAAAGAGATTAATTGTTTTGTATACAGTAAGTGTTTTAGGAGATTTTGTATTACTACATTATTACTATTTTCATTATTGTCAGACTCTTCCACTTCTTTGTGTTCATCCTGTCTGAACTACATGTACCTTTTGTCCTCTGCTAAGTGTCCTTTGAGTGATTGTCATTTTTTTCTTTTACTTTATAGATGAGGATGTTGGGAAAACCCCAGAACAGATAATTTCTGGAGAAGTTTTATTCCATTGTGAGAAATTTGGTCAATCCATAGGAGACGATTCATTATGTTCCATTTTAGAAGAATTGTGGCAAGATAATGACCATCTGGAGAGATGTCAGGAAAACAAAAATAACCTTGTAAGTCATGTGAAAGTATTGGTTAAGGAGAGGAGCTATGAATGTAAAAATATTGAAAAAATAATACCTGTGAGTACCAAGCTTGTTCCTTCAATTAAAAGACTCCATAACTGTGACACATTTGGAAAGAGTTTGAAGCATACTTTAAACTTACATAATCATAATAAAAGCAATGCAACAAAGAACCTTGATAAGATTTTTGGAAATAACAATTTTTCCCATAACTCTTCCTCTACTAAGAATGAGAATGCTAATACAGGGACAAACTCCTGTGAACATAATAAATGTGAAAAGCATCTTGGCAAGAAACAAGTTCTCATCCACCATCAGAAAATACATACTGGAGAGAAACTTTATGTATGTACTGAATGTGTAAAGAGCTTTACCCAGAAGTCACATCTCTTTGATCATCAGAGAACTCATGTTGGAGAAAAATCCTATGAATGCAACAAAAGTGAGACAGTCCCCACTCAGAAGCCACAAATTGATGTACCTCAGAATGTTTATACAGGAGAGAAACCCTATATATGTACTCAGTGTGGGAAGGCCTTTACTCTCAAGTCAAACCTCATTACACATCAGAAAATTCATACTGGGCTGAAACCCTATAAATGCAGTGAATGTGGAAAAGCCTTTTTCCACAGATCGTATCTCTTTAGACATATGAGAATTCATACAGGAGAAAAACCTTATGAGTGCAGTGAATGTGGAAGAGGCTTCTCCCAGAATTCAGACCTCATTATACATCAGAAAACTCACACTGGAGAGAAACACTATGCATGCAGTGAGTGTGGCAAAGCCTTCACCAGAAAATCAGCACTCAGGATGCATCAACGAATTCACACAGGAGAGAAACCCTATGTATGTACCGAATGTGGAAAGGCCTTCATCCAGAAATCACATTTCAATACACATCAGAGAATTCATACTGGAGAAAAGCCTTATGAATGCAGTGACTGTGGGAAATCATTCACTAAGAAGTCGCAACTCCATGTGCATCAAAGAATTCACACAGGAGAAAAACCCTATATATGTACAGAATGTGGAAAGGTCTTCACTCATAGGACAAATCTCACTACACATCAGAAAACTCATACTGGAGAGAAACCCTATATGTGTGCTGAATGTGGGAAGGCTTTCAGTGATCAGTCAAATCTCATTAAACACCAGAAAACTCATACTGGAGAAAAGCCCTATAAATGCAATGGCTGTGGAAAAGCCTTCATATGGAAGTCACGCCTCAAAATACATCAGAAATCCCATATTGGAGAGAGACACTATGAATGCAATGAATGTGGGAAAGCCTTTATCCAGAAATCAACACTAAGCGTGCATCAGAGAATCCATACAGGAGAGAAGCCCTACATTTGTCCTGAATGTGGAAAGGCCTTCATCCAGAAATCACACTTCATTGCACATTATAGAATTCACACCGGAGAGAAGCCTTATGAATGCAGTGACTGTGGAAAATGCTTCACTAAGAAGTCACAACTCCATGTACATCAGAAAATTCACACAGGTGAGAAACCTAATGTATGTGCTGAATGTGGGAAGGCCTTCACTGACAGGTCAAATCTCATAACACACCAGAAAATACATACTAGAGAGAAACCCTATAAATGCAATGATTGTGGAAAAACTTTCACATGGAAGTCACGCCTCACTATGCATCAGAAATCACATACTGGAGAGAGACACTATGAATTCAGTAAATGTGGGAAAGCTTTTATCCAGAAAGCAACACTAAGTATGCATCAGATAACTCATACAGGCAATAAACCCTATGCTTGTACAGAATGTCAGAAGGCCTTCACTGACTGATCAAATCTCATTAAACATCAGAAAACTCATAGTGGAGAAAAACTCTATAAGGCCAATGACTGAAAAAGCCTTCAGGGGGAATTGACAACTGGGTATAAATCAGATGTGTCCAAATGGGGAAGAGGAGTGCCTGATGCTATGATCATTGTTCAGAGGGAAGTAGGTAAGACAGACTACAGCGTAAGTGAACAGAAAGCAAAAAAAGCTAAGTATCCCTCAGTTGTTGGAAATAAAAGTACCTGCATCACCACAGCTGATATGCAATTATATGTGTAGAGAGGCACTTTGATAAAGCATTTGAGCAATAGTACTATTTGATTTCAAGACTCATAAAGAGACTCTCAAACTCCTGCAAATGGTAGAAAGAGAGACCTCAGTAGGTAACTTATCTCTTATGTTTCACTTTTTGGATAAAGAACTTTATAAATTCAGCTCTTATTAGTTCTTCATACCCTGAGATGATGTAAAAGTACTAAATATTGGGCAAAATATTTTCAAATCACTAGAGTGGGGAGAAGAGTTTTCATTGTCCAAACACATGCAAGGCACTGAAGTCGAGCCAAAAAGCTATTTGGGAATGCAGATCTGTGAGTAGAAGCTAGAAGTCTTTGTGATCATTGACATTTAAGGCACAGAAAGGATTACCATGAGGAACATTCTTTCTCTTCCCTTTGAGAAGTCACCATGGTAAAAATTTAATTTTTAAACTTAAAGTCTGACTATGCATCTGCAAATTAGGCATAGCTCTAGCCTGCATTACAGGAATATAGTTATTAAATGTTACAGATACCTAAAGGTGGCAATTGCTCCCTTATTAATTTCATGCTGTGGCAGCAGGTGAATCACACCCAAAAAGTATGCATACCTGCATACCTTCTAACCTATGCCCCAACAGCTATCATTTATATAATCTGCATCCCATAGCTTGAGTAACCCAAGACAGTGGAACTGAGCCACAGCACTCTGGACCTCTAGCCTTGTGCACTGGAGCTTCTGGTCTCTTTGGGATTCCCGGTTGAAAAAGAATGGTTGAGAAATTGGGTTTCAATACAAAAAGTTTCAATTCTGTTTTTCTCCCAGTTTGGTTAAGATATAATTTTCTACACACACATTGAGTAGTTTTGTTTAGATTGCTGTGAAGTTTTAAAGTTACACTGTATTTAGTTACGTAGCTAAAAAATGACTTTATTATAGTTGAATAACTGGAAGACTTCTCTAGAAAGAGCACTGGTCTTTTGTTGAACACTGATATACACTTTCTCATTTTCCGTTAAACACTCTTAAGAAAAGGGGCATTCTTTCTACCATTCAATTTTATTTTCAAACCTTTTTATTAAAGTATAATACATAGAGAAAATGCACATATCATAAGCATACAGGTCAATGAATTCTCACAAACTGCATACTCAGGTCAAGAAACAGAAGATGACTAACACCCCAGAAGCACTCCCTGTACCCCTTTCTAGGCCCTTCCCTGAACCCAAGGTGAACACTATCCTGACTTCTAACAGCATAGATTAGTTTTGTCTATCTGCTATTATAGTTCAGTCAAACAATTTCATATTTTAGTAATATACTCATTAGTGTCTTTCACTCATATATATGTGAGATTCACCCATATTGTTGAATGTAGTGGCAGGTAATTCATTCTCACTGTCATGTTACATTCCATTGTGTGAATATGCTGCAATATATTTATCCATTCTACTGTTGATGGACATTTGGGTTGTTTGCAGCTTGGGGCTATTAGGAATAGTACTACTTTAAATATTTCAGTACCTGTCTATTGATGAACATATTTATGCATTTCTGTTAGGTCTATCTCTAGGAGTTGAACTGCCAGGTCATAGAGTATCCATATGCTCAGCTTTAGTTTTTAAACTAGTTTTCTAAAGTGGCTATACCAGCATGCACTCCCATCAGCACAGCACATGAGTTGTGGTTGCTCCACATCCTTGCCAACTTGGTAATTTCCACCTTTTTCACTTTAGCCCCTATGGTGGGTATACAGTTATATCTTGGTGTGGTTTTAATTTTTATTTCTTTGTCCTCCAATCCCACCATAGTGTCTCCACAAGGTGGTTTACTGATATATGAGATCTGAGACCCAAGCATGGTCTTCATGTGGCTGTACCATTTTACATCCCACCAGCCATAGTAAGCATTTAGTAAGTTTAAATCTTCCCACACACAAAAAAACCCCAAAGCCAGATGGTTTAACTGGTCAATTGCATTTAATATTTACAGGAGAAATAATATGAACAAATATTATAATCATTATAAAAAAACAGAAGAGGAACATTCCCAAACTCTGTGAGGCCAGTATTACCCTGATCCTTAAGCCATACAAACACATCACAAGAAAAGAAAACTACAGACCAATATTCCTCATGAATATAGACATAAAAATCTTCAACAAAATATTAGCAAATTGAACCTAGTAACATAAAATGATTATACATCATGACCAAGTGGGGTTTCTTCCAGTGATGCAAGACTGCTTCAACATTCAAAAACCAGTATAATCTACCATATTAACAGGCTAAAGAAGAAAAATCATATCATCTACAGATTCAACTCAACTTTACTAAACTTCCAGCAGTCTTTCTTCCCCCAAAATTGATAAACTAGCTCTAAAATTTACACAGAAATAGAAAGGATCAAGAATAGCAAAAAGGAATTTGCCAAAGAACAAAGTGGGAGGACATTTATCTTCCAATTTCAAAGTTACTATAAAGCCACAATAATTAAGACAGTATGGTACTGGCATGGGGACAGTAGAATAGAACAAAGTCCAGGAATAAACCCTCATATTTATGGTGAATATCTTGTACAAAAGTGTGAAGGTAATACAATGGGGGAAAGAAAAGTATTTTCAACATTTGGCAGGGATAACTGAATGTCCATACACAAAAAGATTAAATTTTACTTCACACCACACTAAAAATTAACTCAAATGGATCAGAGACACAGAAGCTAAAACTATATAAGTTTTAATAGAAGACATACGAGAAAATTTCTGTGACCTCATAGTAGGCAAGGAATTCTTAGGATACCAAGAGCATGACCCATAAAGAAAAAATGATAAATTGGACTTCATCAAACCAAAAGCCAAAAAAAGGTTTGTGCTTCAAAAGACACCATTAAGAAAATGAAAACACAAAACAGAGACTGGGAAAAAACACTTGTAAATCATGTATCTGATAAAGGACTTACATCCAGAATAAATATAAAGAATTCTTACAACTCAATAAAAAGAAAGCAAACAACCCAGTTTATTTTATTTTATTTTATTAAGGTGTCATTGATATACAATCTTATGAAGGTTTCACATGAGCAACATTGTGCTTACAACATTCACCCATATTACCAAGTCCCCCCCGCCAACCCCAATGCACTCACTGTCCATCAGCGTAGTAAGATGGTATAGTCATTGTCTTCTCTTTGCTATACTGCCTTCCCCTTGACTCTCCTACACAAACAACCCAGTTTAAAATGGGCAAAAGATGTGAAGAGACATTTCACAAAAGATACACAAATCAAAGAGATGCCCAATATCATCAGTCATTAGGGAAACTCTTATTAAAACCACAGTGAAATGCCACTTTACATGCACTAAAATGACTACAATAAAAAGACAATTATATATCAATGATACTTCAATAAAAAAGACAAAACGATTCTAATAAATGTTGGCAAGGATATAGAGAATTAGGAACTTCCACACATTCCTGGTGTGAATACTTCAAAATGATATAGCCACTATGGAAAACTTTGGCAGTTTCTTAAAAAGTTTACCATAGATTTACCATAGGACCGAGCAATGTCACTCCTAGTATCTACCTAAAAGATATATAACGTATTCACACAAACACTTGCACTTGAATATTCATAACAGCATTATTCATACGAGGCAGAAAGTAGAGACAATCCAAATGTCCATCAACTTGGTGAATGGATACACAATGTATTCAGCAATAAAAAAGTACAAGTACTAATAAAAACTACAACATGGATGAACCTCAAAAATATAATGCTAAGCGAGTGAAGTGAGACACAAAAGATCAAATATTGTATTTGTGTATTATATTTATGTGAAATGTCCATAAAAAGCAAATAAGAGACCTATAGATTAGTGGCTGTCCAAGGGTGAAAAGGGGGACAGTTATTAACTGTAAATTAGTACAAGGGATCTTATTGGGGTGATATAAATGTTCTAGAACTTGATTGTCATGATGGTTGCACAACTAGGTAAATTTAATAAAGGTCATTAAGGTGATCCTTGATTCCAATCCTGTTTTAACATCTGTATTCCCTGCTGTAACACCTGATGCCACCTAGAGCTAGAATGAAGTGTTGTCTTGGAGCCTGTTGTACATTTAAGAATAAACTTTAGTTTAAAAAAAAAGTCATTGATGAGAATTAGGCTTGAGATGGATTAATGATTGTGCATTGAGCATTGACCCCCCTATACAGAATTTTATTGTTGTTAACAACCATTTGATCAATAAATATGAGAGATGCCCTCTCAAAAAAAAAGTCATTGAACTGTACAATTTAAATATGGAATGTAAATTATATCTCAAAGTTGTTTTCTTTTTCAGAGTTATTTTGGCTATTCTAGGTCCTTTACATTTCATATGAATTGTAGAATAAAGTCCATTTCAGCAACAAAAAAAGCCGCTGTGATTTTTTACTGGGATTGGTTTGAATCTATAGATCAATAAGGGGGAATTGAAATCTTAACAATATTGGGTTTCTGACTCATAAATAAGGTATATCTCTATTTCTTTATTCTTTAATGTTACAATATTTTATTTAATTTTTAGTTTTCAGTGGACAGGTCTTTCACATCTGACAAATTATTCCCTTTGATGCTATTTTACTTGGTGTTGACTTGTTTCCACTTTATTGTGTAGTACTGGTTTTTAGTTTCAATTTTTTATTGTTAATTACTGGTATATAGAAAAGTGAACTGATGGTTAATTGTTTGTATTCTGCAGAAGTTAGAAGGAACAGTCCCTGCATAAGATTGCCCTCATTTCTGAAACCAATTGCGAATTCAAGGGTGTCCAAGACCACCTTCAAGTTCAATAATTCACTTAGACTCACAGAACCCACTGAAAGCTATTATACTCATAGTTACATTTTACTGCAGCTAAGTATAGAGATTAAAAGCAGCTAAGGATAGAGATTAAAATCAGCCAAGTGAAGAAGCACATAGGGCAAAGTCCAGGAAGACAATAATTGCAGAGCTTCTCCCCATGGAATTAAAACAGCATTACTCTCCTGACGTTGATGAGTGACAGCAGCACAGAACAGTGGCAACCAGAGAAACGCACCTGAGCCTTGGTGACCAGAAGCTTCAATATGGCTCCATCATATAGGCAGGCTGACTGCTCCCATGGCTGATTTCAGTTTCCAACCCATAAGAGTCCAAGATCCATAAGCCAAAGCCCCACTCTGTATTATGTTGTTGATGTGACTCAGAGCCCCCACCCTAAATCACAGTTACTATCCGGATGGCACAAGGCCCCAGATAAAGACATTCCGGTCAGGCATGACATCAAGGGCCTGAAGATTACCTACTCTGTGAAGCTGTAGGCAAAGGCCAGACTTCTCTTGGGTAAGGTTAAATTCTTTACTACACAGGCCACCCCTGGCCTTTGGCCAAGGCTTTTGTACAGCAAAATACATTTGGGCATCTACTTTTACTATAGCATTTATATGATATACTGCAATAGTAAAGAATGAATCCATCCTATAAAGCCATTATCTATACATTTTTATATTTTATACTTATTCAATTACTCTTCCCCTTTAATCTACCTCTCTGTGTGCCTTATGATAAACTTGTGAAGAACTATTTAGTATAGAAATTAGTTGAAGATTAGCTAAATCCAGTTCTTTCTCAAGCCACTCATTTTCTCCTAGTATTATATCCTGAAAAGTCTTTAACTCAATTTCCCAATATATTTGGCCACCAATATAAGCATAGTCTTGGCAGCAATGCCATTGTTACACCATATATCATAGTATAGTAGTAGATGTAACCTGCACACAACACTGTACCTAATCAACAATAATACACTGTACATTTAAAATTTTGTTAAAAGGATAGATCTCCTGTTAAGTGTTCTTTCCAAAATACAACAAAAAATAAAATAAAATACTAATTAGACACTGGCTTATTACTACAGTTCCACTCAGTCATCAAAAATTGGTCCAGTTCATCTATCAAAGCTACTCCACTCACGTTTGCAGGCTTCCTTTCAACCTTGTCAGGTTTCAAAAGTAGATGTGGTCTTAGCAACATAGGGCTTCATTCTTTCAGGCATCTTGTAAAATTGAGTTAGGGACAATATTATCTCTTGCTCTGAGCCTTTCAGGGCAGCAATGTAATGGATTTCCCTTGTTCACACAGCCTATTTATTCATTCTTTTATTCTCAGCTACTATATCTCCTCCTCTCCATTTATCACTGAGTTTCACCCAAACTTTTCCACCTTTTTTTTACATGTCTTTTTTTTTATTACGGTATCACTGATATACACTGTAGTGAAGGTTTCACAATAAAAACAATGTGGTTACTACATTAACCCATAATATCAAGTTACCCCCCACCACAGTCACTGTCCATCAGTGTAGTAAGATGCACAGTCACTACTTGTCTTTTCTGTGTTACATTGCCTTCCCCGTGACCTCCCCACACCATGTGTACTAATCATAATACCCCTCAATCTCCTTCTCCCTCCCCACACACCCTCCGCACCCCTCCCCTTTGGTAACTGCTAGTCCCTTCTTGGAGTCTATGAGTCTGCTGCTGTTTTGTTCCTTCAGTTTTTTTTTATATTGTTAATGTACAATTACTTGAACATTATGGTCACTAGACTCTAGACTCCCCCTATTATCAAGTCCCCCCAACATACCCCATTACAGTCACTGTCCATCAGTGTAGTAAGATGCAATAGAGTCATTACTTATCTTCTCTCTATATACTGCCTTTCCCGTGTCCTTCCCCCACCCCACTACACTATGTGTGCTAATTGTAATGCCCCATTTTCCCCCTTATCCCTCCCTTCCCACCCATCCTCCCCAGTCCCTTTCCTTTGGTAACTGTTAGTCCATTCTTGGGTTCTGTGTTTCTGCTGCTGCTTTGTTCCTTCAGTTTTTTCTTTGTTCTTATACTCCACAGATGAGTGAAATCATTTGATACTTGTCTTTCTCTACCTGGCTTATTTCACTGAGCATAATACCCTCTAGCTCCATCCATGTTGTTGCAAATGGTAGGATTTGTTTTCTTCTTATGGCTGAATAATATTCCATGGTGTGTATGTACCACATCTTCTTTATCCACTCATCTACTGATGGACACTTAGGTTGCTTCCATTTCTTGGCTATTGTAAATAGTGCTGTGATAAACATAGGGGTCCATATGTCTTTCTCAAACGGGGCTGCTGTATTCTTAGAGTAAATTCCTAGGAGTGGAAATCCTGGGTCAAATGGTATTTCTATTTTGAGTTTTTTGAGGAACCTCCATACTGCTTTCCACAATGGTTGAACTGGCTTACATTCTCACCAGCAGTGTAGGAGGGTTCCCCTTTCTCCACAAGCTTGCCAACATTTGTTGTTGTTTGTCTTTTGTATGTTGGTCATCCTAACTGGTGTGAGGTGATATCTCATGGTGGTTTTAATTTGCATTTCTCTGATGATTACCGATCTGGAGCATCTTTTCATGTGCCTGTTGGCCATCTGAATTTCTTCTTTGGAGAAGTGTCTGTTCAGCGCCTCTGCCCATTTTTTAATTAGCTTATTTGCTTTTTGTTTGTTGAGGTGTGTGAGCTCTTTATATAATTTGGATGTCAACCCCTTATGAGATGTCATTTTTGAATATATTCTCCCATATTGTAGGATGTCTTTTTGTTCTACTGATAATATGCTTTGCTGTACAGAAGCTTTTTAGTTTGATATAGTCCCATTTGTTCATTTTTGCTTTTGTTTATGTTCATTTTTGCTTTTGTTTCCCTTGCCCAAGAAGATATGTTCATGAAGAAGTTGCTCATGTTTATGTCCAAGAGATTTTTGCCTATATTTTTTTCTAAGAGTTTTGTAGTTTCATGACTTACATTCAGGGCTTTGATTCATTTCGAGTTTACTTTTGTGTATGGGGTTAGACA